CACCTCATTTTGGCGATTTCTCACCGGTGATGATTTCTTTTAGCTGACTAGTGACTTCCTATCGTAGAAAAGATATGAGTTATTTAGTATTCCATATCTGATAAGTGGCTTCATAAGAACGAAGTTGAGCACTTAAAAATTATGATCCGGAAGCCCCTAACGAAAAGCATGAAATTGCCATTACATACCCTTTCGTAAAAAAATTCACATAGTACTATTAATTTGACAAAAAAAAATATGTTGACCTCGATAAATTTCTGAGGATCTTTATAAAAAGCACGCAATTTTGTACAAAATACAGTCGAATGAAACCATACCCAGTCTTTACGCCATGTTTTTTTGATGACAGTCGGGTATACCTACATCCCGCAAGGAACCCAGAAATGTATGTTCCGGGTGAGAAATATTTATAAAAAAAATTTGCAACAAATGTTTATAACAAATATTTCTCCTGCGACAACTGCAAAAACAATACAGCAACTTAAACGTGTCCAGCCGAATTCTAATTAGTGCCACAACCCTACCATGAAGTTGGTCTTTATGTTATCATTCTACCAGAAGATCGTACTTGCTTTACGCTGACCCCAAAATTCTGGTGAATATTATGAGAATATTTTTCCGTCTGCGGACATTTATTAGAAATCACATATTGATGTTAGTGTTAGCGATGTGTTAGCCTCCATTCTGCTATTAACAGGCATGATTTCAAATACAAGGTTAAAAATTTCTTCTATGTATAGCATACATGCATATATTGTTCTTCGCCCTACCAACAAATGACACTTAGAAATTTGTAAACAACTGTCTGTAGACAACTCAGAAGAAAGGTACTCCTCAGCAAACATAATCAATACTTTATAAGATTCTGCTTATGAAAATTTTAATATTATATTTATACGGAAGTGCCGAAGACAATATCCAACGAAACAGCTCTTAAGGAGTCGTAGAGCAAGATAAACCATATGAATTATATGGTAATATAACTAGCTATACTTATTATCCGAATAAATGCGGAATAAACAGTTCTGGAATTATTTCAAAATATATCAAATCGTGAGCCTAGGGGACGAAAAACGTATCTAACTCGTGTTCTCAATCGGAATAAACTTTCGAAGTGATCGCTTTAAGTAACCAAAGAAAAATGTACTGTTTGAAAGTATTAGCAACCATCGATATATTTTGATCAGTTATAAAATCGCTCAATAGTGTTTTAAAAAAGTGCCCTTAATAGGGTATACTTGTATTAAGTTTGTAACAAAAAGAAAGGAACGTCGCAGCCCTAGTACATACAAAAATGATCAGCGTGACGATGCTGAGACGATTAAACCATGTCAGTCTGTAAAACGCTAATTATTTTCTAAGTTTTTGAAATATCGATCTGAAATTTAGCACACGTGCTTTTGTTCTAAAAATGCTGCTCATTTGTCGGAACCACTGGATTCGGAGCACTATAGGATATAGTTGCCATTCAAACTGATCCATCAAAATCGAACCCTTGTACGGAAATTTTTTTTATTTGAAGATATCTTAATCTTCACGAAATTCAACATGGATTATTGCTCAAGATAATGCTTCAATCTCCACAGAAATTGTTCAGATCCGACCACCACAGCATGTATGTAGCCGCCATAGAAACTGACCTATGAAAATCAAGCCAAAAATATTTTTATAACTTTTTTATTATAAGAAATGCACTTGTGATGGGTATTATTATAATATTTTTTCGTGCATTTTTTTTTTAATTTTAATTAGTCATATAAGGCCATGTGTGAATATTTAAAAAGCAATTTGTTCCTTATAACAACATATCCATATATGTGGGTACTCTTCTTTACCATTATTGTGAATACATATTTGACGGCTGTCAAATATTTCCAAAAGTTTGGTATTTTTTCTGTACAAATAAATAGTGTTTATTATGCCAAAATAAGCACTAAAAAATTTATAAAAAAATACTATTATAATCCACCCATATCAGATGGAAATTTTTAGCAATTCGTTTGCAAACGAATGTTTATGCTGCTTTCACATGCTTATGTACCACAATCGAAATTTAAAAAGCTTTCATAAAAGCGTTCAATTCAACCACTGCAAAAGGACCGACTTACGCCAAAAGCATCAACAGCAGTTGAAAGGCGACAAAATCGCTGCACAAATATAATTAATATTTAAATAACATGAACACTATGCTCCAGCGCATGCTAAAGTCGTTGCGCCACCGCAACAAAGTAACGGCAAACAGTCCAGAGACAGTAGACATTGTACAGTAGACTAAATCCAGTTGCAAATAGAGGAAAAGTATATCAAAAGAGGAAAACCAAAACACAAAAACAACATTCGTGCAAAGGCGAGTCGAGTGCTGAGTCATTCATTTGCAACACTGAATGTTGGAAAAATTTTAAAATCGTATTATAAAATAGAATAAAAATCAGATTTGTTAAGTAAACAAAGTTTACGTTTATGTATGTCTGCTGTCTAACTAAATATCTAACTGTCAGTCAGGCAGTCAGATACTGTCACCGCTGTGTACAAACATAATGCTGCTGTTCATCATGTCCATTTCAAGTCCGACGCTGTCGCTTTCTTGCCACTCTTGTCACACACACGCACATATATATTATATGTGACTGTGTGTTACTGTGTGCGCTCGTGTTTGTGTAGTGGTCATGTGAAGTGTTGTGCAGTCGTTTGCGCATGAATTAACTTTATTTGCTTTGAGTAAATTAAATAAACTACTCATAGACACAAACTACTTTAACCGAGGTAGGTGTGGAAATTTTTCGCTGCAACTAGCAGATAACTCGGATTTTTTCGAGCGCATTGGATGTGTTTGCGACAGAATTTAAATTTTATATTCTTCTACAACGACTTAATTGCTTGAAGTTTATTTGTACTGAAAATAGTTTCGAAAGAATCTTGGTTCCACACATCTATAGCCTGGTTTGAGTGCATTTTTTAATTAAAAACTAGCCCAAGAATATGCGTAGCCCACTAAAGCCCAAATATTTCTAAGTCTTGAGGCAATTACTTATGAAATGTTGCACAACCTGGTCTACTAGATTCGGCGTTCAAAATGAATCTGAAGCTGGAAGATACTGGTGTCCAGGTCAAAAGAGCGTTCAGGTAAACAAAATAGCTGATGAACTTACCATAAGTGCCATTCGTCTGGCTACCGAACCAGTACAGGAAATAGCAAGTCGCCAAAAGCAACAAATATTGAAATTTTCGAAAGGGCTGACAGACTAATCAGTGAATAATGGAATGCCTTAAGGACATCGCAGGATCACCAAGATCATGTGTAAGAGCCACGAAGAAAAACACGCATGACAGGTCACCACTGACTGACATCACATGCGAGCCTGATGGGCGTTAGTAACGACGGCACAAGAAGGAAGTGCAGGGGAGTAGGCACGAGTAAGAGGCTGAAACACCTCCTCTGCTTTTGCCCCGGCCTATCTACAATTTATCTATACTAAAGGAGGATGGCAGTTCAAAAGACTAGACAAAGTATCAAAATTAGCTATCAAGTCTCTAGTTGACGTCAAGTCAAGTGCTGATGTCTTGTATGATGAATACTTCAGCTCGAATTAAACTTAACCGCCATCTTGCCTTAAAAAGAACGAGTAGGTCTATGAAGCGTGACAGCCGGGCAGTATAACCTAACCTAACTTATACTCAAGATCAATATCGAGCAGGTCTAAAATCCAAATTGATACAATTTTTTTCTCTTGTAGATTAATACAAAATTTGTTTATGATTTATTAATAAGTGCTGCTGATTAGAAAAAAATCTTAGAGCTTTTAGCCAAAACACAAGCCTGAATACTAACACAAAACTGATATTTCCCGTCAGTATTTACAAATGGATTATGAAAAAGTAGATGCCGAAAGCAGATGTTTATCTTATGCTTCTAACTTTGTAATACATCACGATATTTTCATTAGATATCAACACGAATACCCTTTGTGCTCAAAATATTGCAAACGAAGCTTTAAGCTCTTGTTAGTTAAGTCATAAACCTCATTTTTTTTAATATTCTATTGTGAGGATAAGATAAGGGAGCAGAAATATAAAAATGTTGTATATTTATCTGACTTTCTACTTCATAACCGAATTCTACATATTTGTTTAAACTCTGAAGGTACAAAATATTGCACCTAAATAAAAGGGGAAGTTTATGTGTAACAATTTTACAGCATTCTATGCAATTTTATATCAGCTTTCGCGGAAAGCTTAAATCTTTACGAAAATTTAGCATCAATTTCGCTTACAACTTTGACCTATAAGCGAAATTGCATATGCATCTATCAAACAATTCAACTTTACCATGCTAACCTTATGTTCCATTTCGAAAAACGGTTAATAGAAATGGTGCTAAATTTAAAAGCTCAAATTCCAGCTTAACACATACATAAAACCACACATAACGGTATAAAAGTATTATTGGCTGTCCTCGCCACATATCGAGCAATTCATCTATGTCAGTCGCTTTGAAAGCAGCACCGATGCTACTTATGCATTTATACTCTATCATACCTGCATAAAGGATGCAGTGAAATAGTGTGAATACAAAACTAAGCAATTGAACATAAAGCCAAGGTAGAATTGCCAAATGAAACTGTCACAATCAAATTGAACTGTCAGTGTGAATGAAATGAACAGAGAGACGACCTGCATAAGTATTGTGAAAAGATTAAAACATTGACAAGGACTTGGCGGAAAAGTGGTGCAGCAGAAGCGTACACATATTTATTGTTGTACAAAAAATGTAAAAAAATTCAATAAAATTTGAAACGTAAGTTGGATTGCCATGCAATATTCCATTAGCAATAATTCTATCAGCATTGTAGGTCATATGTGTATGTGCTTATACTCGTATAATGTATTTTTAAGCGCTGATGTAATAGTTTTTATATCCACAATTTTTTTTGTTTTTTTTTGTAGTGAACATGCACCAATTTTATTCAACTTTAGCTTATTCTTTTTCATCTACTTTACAGCGCGATGTTATTAACTTGGAGCCCACACGCGACGACGTTGTTAGCTGCGTCTCCAAAGGCAAAAGCCAGGTAAGCCAAATCCGCACGCGCACAATATATTTATGTATATATGTCATTTATGCATGTGTATGTATGTCTAACACAAAGTTCAGGAGTAAGCTCCTATTTTATCTGCATTGAATAAGACTACTGCCGCGGTTCAATTCAAAATTTCACAAAGCCTCTCAAAGCACGGCACAAAATAAACTTTTCTAGGATTTCCCAAGCGGTTGACTGTCATTGGTGCGCCACACATAGATGCGTACATGCTCGGCAACGCATATTCCAGCTGCAATCTACTTAAAGCCAAGTCATCATTCTTTTGATTTTGTACAATTTATCGCCGTTTTTGAATTTATATGAAATTGTAAGCGCTTATATGCAGCTGATTTTAAAGTTGGTAGGATAGGGTAAAGAAAAGTATGCTAAATACAGATTACTCAAGTCAGCGCAGTATCAGTTTATACACTTATGAGTGCGACCCAACGAATGTTAATTCCACATAAGATACCATAGTTTTCATTCAGCTTAATACACTTGAACCAGCGATGCTCCAATTTATTTAAGCCGTCCGACGAATTATGTTTTCTGAAGGTGACTGACCTGACTTTCTCATGTTTGATAACAAAAAGGAACCGCACAAGGCCATAACCTAAGAGTACGGTGGATGACTCAAAAGTTCGTAGCCTGATTCGATGAGTTTCGCAATGGCGACTGCTGGTGTGAGCCGGTGCGTTGCCATAATAGCATGGAAATTTTTCGATATAAATCTGAAATCGCAGAATACCGTGACAGTCACTTTTCTGGCCTGTCGTCTAACACAATCTTTCCATTTTTCACTTTTTTTTGCAAATTTTCATAATTGTTTATTTTTATGGACTTTAAAATCATATATTTTACAAAAAATATATATCACTAATAAATCAAATTTCCACATTTCTTATTATTATATATTCAATATAGCTGGAATAATTTACAGTTATTCAAAAGTGCATCAAAGACCCACACGCACTGCTATGCATTCCAATACTTTACAAAGACACCCTACATATATTCCAGCAAGCATATTCGCATCCAATTGCGAACTAATAAAAACTAAAATCCCTACTTTTTACTATCTGAATAGGGAATCCCGTCAAATAAATGCGTGAGCGCATCGCTTCATTGCGGATAAATTCAATTTTTGCTACTTTACGAAAGCTTCCGGGAAAGCGCACGGGAAGTGAGCAAATACACATTTACCCCATTACTTAAACACACATGAGTGCTTATTTCTATACGTGCATATGCATGTACGTGTGTGTGTGTGCACAGTCAAGTCAATTTAGTGCACATACATGGAAACACACGCGTAACCGATTTACTGTGACTTTTTGTCTCCTGCGCTTCCCATAACCTTACGAAAGAAAAAGAGAAAAAAAAAACCAAAACTATCACGGGCGGCTACCAGCAATTTGATTGATTTTTATATCATCTGCAGCGTGCGGCAAATGTCTGCGTAATAGAGCAATTTCTCTTCACACCCGCATTCGCATTTAACGCAACGTCATTGCGGTTGCTGCTGCTGTTGGGTGTCGCACACACACAAAAGTTGCTGCTTTAAAAAAATCTCGTCATCTTATTTGTGGCTTGCAATTTGTGCACACTGCTACCACCGCCCTCGGTTGCCTGCTGCCTGCTGCTGTTGACGGAATCCCTATAATGCGTGGCTGCCGCAGCTCCAATTGACAGCGCAACATCTTGCAATTTTCCACACATTTCTCCGTAGTAGATTCAATGGGTTTTCTTTCTCTCCTTACCCTTTGCCGGTGCGTGCCACAGTACGTTGCAGGGGATTATTGTGTAAAATATTGCAGAGAATTTGCTGTTTTGTATTTTGCCCGCTTTTATGATATTTATTTATATGCATTTTGCTTTGTATTTTCCGCAGCGCATCTTCTTTTCCGTAACGGCATATTGAGCACAATTCCTACAACATTTGCTACTTTGCAATGTTGCAACATAATTTGCGGCTTGCAATTTTATAATGAGCAAGTTGTTTTGTATAGAAATTTGATTTCGCATTTTACTTTGTTGCAAAGCTGATTGTTTCCCTATTTATTAATGCTCGATAATGGTATTTATTTGTTTTCCAAATTGCTATTGTAGCGCTGCAACATGCTTTGGGAGCTAATAGAAGGCGCGGCTGCAAAATACTGTTGGTGTAAATTTATTCAAAATATTGCTTGCAAATAAATAGTTTTTAAAAATTCTAAACTTTTCTAAATAGAATTTCATAAACCAAGAAAAGAGATTTGGAGTTATATAAATTTTATTTCAAAAATAACACAGAACAAGTTGACCATAGTTTGACCTTTCAGTTCAGTTCACACAATCCATTGCTATTAGTTTTTGAAAATAATTTTGTAAACATGACCACCGCAACAGAATCTTATAAACAATAAACTTTCGGTCCATATTTGGCCCTTTTTGCCAGGATTCTCGCCTGTAATAAGGGGTATTCTAAGATACTAAGATACAAATTCCCGTTTCTACCCATCACCACGAATTTTCGAGTTCCTATAGAGTAAAACTAAAATTCGTTCCGCAATATTGCCTTCCCTTCCAGAAAAGAGTGGGAAAGGAGTGAGGTATACAGAAACACAGGGAACAGCATCTATACGTAAGGATCCAAACTAGATAATCGAGTTAAAGGCGGTGTATTTTCAACCTGTGGTGTATTTTCGCCTTGTGACTACCAAAACACTGCTGAAGAGAAGCTGTTAAGAAGTAGACGAAGAAGAGACTATTGAACATTTTCTATACGAGTTCAAAGCTTTGTATAGGAGTGGAATTGCAACTATCGGTCGAGAGTTTCTTTACGGTATCTGGGAGGTTGAACAGATAAAACTTTTTGTATTGATGAATTTTATCCGGAGCATAGGGTGGTTCAGAGAGGATATAATATAGTGGGGGACTCTTAGTACCGATGGTTTTATAATGGGCCACCTAAAGGTCTAGGTCGTCATACATCCACTTTAACTAACTACCTACCTGCCAGGATTGTGATTCTTTCCAAACGACACACCAAATATTGAATACCATTTAGTCAGTTGAACCTGATTTATCACCATTTCTATATAAAAAATTGTTTAACGGCGTCCTGTACATGACTTGTGTGGTGAATTAAGAGGCCCAATTTTTTATATGATTCAGTCACCAACAGTTGGTACCAATAAATTTAGGGTTACACGCTTCCTAAGAACTAAAGTCAATATGAAAAAATATCTATCTCTTTTTTAAAAAATATAGACTAATAAACACTTTATCATGCAAACCACACCAGACGGTGAAACCCTCTCGAGTCTCGAAAACAAACTTTCACTCTAAACAAATGTTGTCCCTAAAAATGTACATATTTGTACTGTGGTTTGTCAAAGTAAATTTCTACTAAACGTCAAACGTATATAAGTATTCGCTTTGTCAGCTATATTTCTATGAAATTATAAATACGTGTATATAAATATGTATGATTATATAAACTGCGACTTCTTCTTTTATCAAAAAAAAAAAAAAATGTGAATACAACTTGTGAGGCATTCATAAGTTCCCTGATAGTCTCAGCTGCGTGGTAGTTTATTTCAATTTCAATTTGCTTGGAGTACAAATCTAAATTAAATGCTTTGCATTGCACAGCAACATACTTCGGAGTCGAACGCAAGCGAGCAACCTGTCATAATTTGCAAATGACAAAATAAAAATAAAAATAAACTAAAACAGGAAGTTAAAGTATAGTAGAATGTAGCAAGTTCGAGCGGAAACGAGCACAACAAACTAAATGTGACTAACTAAATATTGAAATTATAAAAAAATTGTAGACCTTGAATGCATTGTGGGTGATATTTTAAGTACACATTTAAATTATCAAATTAAATTACAAAACAAATTCTAAAATATATATTATATGAATGAATATCTTATATACTTCCAAGGTTTGCTTATTTTTCTTTATGGTTGAAACAAAAAACTTCAAAATTTTCTTCACTAACTGCTTTCTATTGTGACTATGAAAATACTCCTTATTTATACTTGTATTCTGGGAGAGGAGTAGGAGAATAGTCTTCACATTTTGTCTTAAAATAAATCCTAGGTGAACTCATATCGATATTATTTTTGGAAGCTCTCTCGCTCTTCAATTATTTTCGTAGCCAAAAGCAGTTTTTTTAGTGCCTTGAAAAAAAATTTAAATTTGTACAAATTGTGAGGAGGACATGGAAGCACAATTATTATTATTATTCCATTATCATTGTTGGATATTCTATCAAATTAGGAAGAACGCCAAGACAGCAAATAAAAAAACAGAATGTACTTTTTCACAGAAATATTTTTGAAATCATAAAAGTTTTAGAGCCTTTTCGGAAAAGGTCGCAAAAGTCTGCAGTAACAAACGGTTCTGGCTCTATGAAACCGTAGTTAAACCAATAATGTTTTATGTGGTCGTTGTCTGGTGGAGGGAGCTCGGAAAAACCACACTAGTTAAGCAGTGTTTAAAGAGTGGTCCTCATCGTTATATATGGTGCACTCAAGAAAACACTAACAAAGGCACTCAATGTCGTTCTACACGTAGACAAAGCTGTTAGGTGTTTTGTGGCAAAGATTGCTAATAGACTTAGGGAAGCTGGGTATATGAGGGGCGCCGGGCAGGGACACACTTCTAACTTACTTCGATTGCATTTCATACAATCTAGATCACAGCATCGCAGAGTTATGCATTCACTCCGATAGCTGAACGGCTATACAGGCTCTGAGCTTGCTGACTGTGCGCTCAAAACAAACTTTCCATGACAGAAGAAGACAAAGCAAACAATGCAACGGCGTACCGACCAAGAGAACTCCCACGAATCAAAGAACTATTTAAAAACACCAAAAACTCCAGCAAATATATTATTTTTGAAATTTTATAGAAATTATTATGATATTTTAAATAGAAATTATGGTATTAAAAACTAATTAGTTTATTTATCTTCAAATAAAATTTGATTAAAAACTTATTGGTTTGGCTATTCTAAAGTCAGTTTTGATGGGTATTCCTGAATAATAAATTATGTTGCCCAAATATATATGCGTTGGGTATAAAAATTGGTAATAATTTCTAGCAATATGCATGTGCAATCGAGCAATACATCGGCAACAGCTGTGCAACTACGCTTCCAATTGTGTAATTTCTTGTTTTTGTTCAGTATTTATTTATTCACAGCTTTTTTGCAGCGTGCAACAATTTTGTGGCGATAAATGACAGGGACTGAAAAAAAAAAACTGGCGAAAATAACAAAATATTACATAGTGCAATATTCAGACATTTTTCTCACATAACAAATATTGCACGAGCTGTATGAATAGTTTGTGATTTTATTCATTTCACTGATTTTTTTCTCTGCACATCTTTTCTTTTATTTCAGATTTTCGATTGCAAGAATCACATTCGTGTCATACAATCAATGGAAAACGGTGACAGGCTTTACGTTTGCGGCACAAATGCACACAATCCCAAGGATTATGTCATCTATGTAAGTATCAATAGAAATAAACACCCAGCTGTAGACTAACAGCCACACACACATGAACACACTTAGAAATGCAAAGTCATAAAAAATTTGAAAAAAAGGTTGTAAAGTTTCTTTGTTGCAACAGTGGAGTTGCAGTGATGGGGAGGGGCAGCAGAAGGGCACTGAGAGCGAGAGCTTACAATCTAAGCTTTCATGCATTTTTCTTGTGGCCACCAAACTATACACATACAGGCATACACACATACACACATATATGTAACACATCTGATAAAATCACTTTTTTCCATTTCACCAAATGCAATTGTCCGTCTGTCCGTTGAAAGCGTTTATCTGTGCGCAAATAGAACGCTTACTTTCCTTTTTGGCGAAATCAACTTTCTTGCTTCGTTTGACTCGGAACAGATTGCAGTTATCGCAGTGACTCACGTAAAAAAGGACTTTTTACTATTATCCCAACTCTTTGTGTTTGTTCTTGTTGTAGTAAAGTGAATCCTTAACGGTTTTTAAGACACACACACGCTCTAGAAGCATATTGTTGACATAACCGGGCAAAAAAAAGTGTTTGAATTTTTTTTTTTTTGTCGCATATGAACACAAGTCTTTATTTGTACGTCAAAGTATGTGTCCTTGCATTTTAGGTTATGGCGTTCGGTGATAAATGACAACGGCAACCATATGTTTTCCTTCAAATGACACATATTTATCTTTTATATTTGAGTTATGCCTATTGAAGAAGTTGAGCAGTATATTTATAAGTTCACCTATGAAAATATTGTTAGTTGGTCAAAAAGAGTAGTGTTTATTATTTATATTCACGCTTTTGCAAACTTTCTGATTTTTAGGTTATGAATACAAACTCATGACACGATGCACTTCATACTTAATATGGGACGATGAGACCCAACTAAGGGTTTAATTATATTTAAACGAGTTGTAACTTAAATTCTGGTTCCTTTCGCATACAAAAAATTTTACAAATAATTTAGCAAAATTCTCTAGGTCTTTATCTCGATTTCAATCCGGGTCCAATTCGATTACATAGATCTGGCGGCTATGAAATCAAATGAAGTAAACAGTAGTCATTCAGATTGCATTTTGTTGAAGTCTTGTACCACTCATCTTGTTCAACCTATCGCAAATTTACTCTCTTGTCACTCTACGCGCACATAATAGAAAAGTCGACTATTTTATAGCGCTTGAATAGACACACCCCTTCGATTTCTTGATTGACTCTATACGAGTATTCGCCAAGGATTTTGGGAGTGATCGCAAAAACGTATCATTCGTTTATATTTTTTTGAAAATTTGGGGAAATCTAAACTGTCAAGTAAAACCAAACTATTTTAGTAGCAATCCTGTGCTCGTTTAGCGCGGGACTCGCTATTCGGTAGCACCTATATAATATTGCTATCCCGTTATGCTTTTTGTAGACAGCTATTCAAGGTTTGGTGTATGTTGCGTTCCAAGTATTTTTTTTATGGTTTGTCATAGAGCTGGGCATACACAGAGAAAGTGGAAAACAGTTTTATGATTCCTTTGTGGCTTGCAGCAGCATTTTTAGCGCATGTTCCCCGAGAGACCAATGTCTCGTTATAGTGGCAGTAAGTCAGTAACTACTATTACTGGATCTATTTCATAAGTCTTTAGTTTTGGTTTTGTTATACTTGTCCCATATCTGTTTCGTTATCTTGCAGTTCCTGATTGATTTTCATCTACTCTGAGCTTTTGGTTCAAAATGAATATACAACTCTCTATTGATTATTCCCAGCGGGCATGGCAGTAACTTCGCCTCAGATTCGTCTAAACAGGCTTTTAGCTGGACTCGGCTGCTTTTTCGAAAACCTTTTTTTGGCCGAGAACCCTAATTATGTACAAGTGGAGTTGACCTGCCAGTGAGCTTAAAGCCTTCCTGCAATTAAAGATTATGTTGATATTAATCGGTTATATCGACGAATACAGCAACGCCGCCTGGCTATGCGTGTATACGATTGCTTTCTGTGTCCTCACTTATTTATTCAATACAACCTCCCAGGCCCTCTCAATACCTAGTACTTCCACTTGGAAGATGTTTTCTGAGTTTGGTAGCCAGATGGAGAGAGATGTCGAAATTGTACTCCGCAGTCCAATTTGGAGACGTCGATATAGATAGAGGTGGTATCATCCTCCCCAACTTAACCTCTTAACCATTCACGTCTAGAGAGTATACTCACTTGAACGTGACTATTGAAATCTAACCTTGTGAGGATATATACTCCGATTAACTTAAGTTTACCAGGTTCAGGATGGCGTTATGTTCCAACCTTCTAATTCCTTTATTCTTACAGCAGACCCTGCTGCTACTTGTAATTTATTAATGGCATCAGTCGGGCATATTTGGCTGCAGGTCCCAGTTCCTGTTAAGTATTCTTTTGCAGGTGTAAACGACCATATAGACTTTACTTATTCAATGTCAAGAGTTTGCATTCAAACGCATGATCGATCTTTGACACCGATTCCTGGAAACATGTTGCCGACCTTCTACAATTTATAAAGTTCATCGTTTCAACCGAAAAATATACATAATTATTCGCTTAGATTCCAAAGTCTCTCAAATAAAAATTTTCAAAGTACACCAAAAGTAAAACAGTAAAAATCGATGGCCTCCGTAAGAGAGAGTATCTAATAAAACTCCAAAACATTCACATCTCACTCACTATAATGTGCGAAGCCCGAAATCCGAATTAAGTTTCATAGAAAAGATAAATTTACACGAGTTAAATATTTTAAGTGCTAAAATGGTAGAATTATATAATTCAGCCACTGATTTTAAAATATTAAAAGTTTTTAAAAATTTTATATACTTCAAATTGAATATTCATAATCATTTCAGTCCAATCTCACCCATTTGCCTCGCTCGGAATATGTGATTGGCGTTGGTCAGGGTATCGCAAAATGTCCCTACGATCCGCTAGATAATTCAACTGCCATTTATGTTGAAGAAGGCAATCCTGGTGATTTACCCGGTTTGGTAAGTAATGATTTCATTGCTTTTAAAATTTAATAGTTTTTATTGTGTACTGTTAGTTTAAAAATTTATAATAATTTATTTTTAATTAAAATAGTATAAAAGTCATAAAAAAATTAATATTTACATTACATTTGCAACTTTAAGTCATACATCATTGAAAGTAATTTTCTGTAAACTGTATTTACTTATAAATGTATTTGTGATGTATTTAAAATAAAGCTAGCAAATGTACACTGTCGTACATATATGTATACACTGGCGCGTCCATTATTTCCCAAACTGACTTTTTTCTTTTGCAAACGTCCCCTGGAGTTTCAAGTTTTGCTTTACAAAAAAATATCCAATGTAAACAAGGTGTTTATTTCAACTTGAACCGTGCCTAAATCACATTACTTTTTCCATATATTTTATATGGGATTTTTCTGATCTTTTAAAATAAATTTTTTATCTCTAAAGCAAATAAATCTACGACTTTGATAAAGTGATATTCCAATAAAAACTGTTCCGCTCCACAAATACGGATAACGATTCTTTTCCATAAAAATATTCTTTTAAAAGTTATACGCAGTTAAAGTTATACATCAAATGTACAGTAGTGATATAGTACACCATGTCGTATGAGCAACACAGTATATACAAATCACTTGTATGAATGCTCAGGTCATTTGATGTATAACTTTAACAGCTTATATTTTTAAAGGAATATTTTTATTAAAAAACCACTTTTTTTATGAACGGAAATTTTTGAGTAAAAATATCCCTCTTTCAAAGTTGTACTTGTACTTGGCTTATTGCAAAAACTGAAAGATCAGCTGGCATTTGCTTAAAAAAATTCAATTTAGGAAAAAACCCCCACACTAATATACAAATGTACATATAATTGCTACAAATATTTACTTTCAACTCAGCTTAAATGTTTCATGCTACTTTTGTTCGCATTAATCATTCATTGGCTGCTATTGCATAATTCTCTCTCTATATTACAGTACTCAGGCACCAATGCAGAATTCACAAAAGCAGACACTGTGATCTTTCGAACGGATTTATATAATACGACAGCAAAGCGATTGGAATACAAGTTTAAGCGCACACTTAAATATGATTCCAAATGGTTGGACAGTGAGTACAAATAATTTTTATAATAAAAAAAATTATTAATTCATAACATTAAATTTTAAGTAAAAATCATAAAATCAGAAATAGTAAAATTTGTTTTTTGTACACTAAAAAGTCAACAAAGCATTTGAAGACTTTTGTAGCGATATTATGTTTATTACTAGTTACAAAACTAGTCGAAAAACTTTGTCTCACATGCAATAAGTATTGAATTTGAAAAACCAAAAAAACTTCCAAAAGGAACAAAATTACCAGAAATTGTATATATTTCGTCTTAATACCACACGAACACTGCAGCAAAAGAAAATTCAATTTCGTCATCAAGCAAAACTTTGCAGACATTATCGCAACATTCGACACTTTGCCTCAAATCGGCTTAAAAAAGAAAAGATATTAAATTTGCATAACGAATTTCGAAGAATATGATGAGCAAAAAAAAGCCAACCAAAGCATAGGAGAATTGAAATGCTTTGCAATTTAAAAATTTATACAATTTTCTTTTAAAAAATTCAAGCCAAACCAAACCAAGATATCCACAAATTTATCCTACAAAATTAGTTTTGTATGAAATTTTCATTTCCACAGAAATGCATATATCCACAGAAATGAAACTTTGAAAATTATGAAATTTTTATTTCTACAGCGGAAATTCAGATTCCGAAGAAAATCGAATAAGGTTTTTTTTTTGGATTTTTTCGACGATAATTGAATTTAACAGAATAGGAGAGCATGTGGAATATGAACAAAGCAAATTCATAAAACGAAATAATTCACGCACTCGTAGTTGTGCAAAAATAGATATAGTGTAATTCAATTATTTTGAGCTTGCTTAACTTGAATGTGTTCGTAGAAATTCAGCAATAAGAGTTTGATAAAAGCTCGATTTTCTCCAAGATCCCCCAATTTTAAAAATTAAGCTGAATTTATCGAATTATTCGAAAGTCTAGTCTTACAACAATTTGTAAGTTTAAAATGCTAGGCCAATGCATGACTAGACCTCTTTCATTTCATAAGGAAGTAAAAAATCTGGTAAACCTCCATTTCTCTCCAAGAAGCTGGTGATTTGTCGGAACCGTCAATATCGGACTAGTATAGCATATAGCTGCCAGACAAACTGAATGATCAAACTCAAGTCCTTGTATGAAAAGCTTTATTATTTTTCAAGACATTTTCACGAAATTTACCATAGATTATTTTATAATTCAACGGTACAGTGTACAAATTGGATCGCGATTGCATATAGCTGCCATATAAACTTACAATATTTTGACAGAAAATATGTGTATCAAATGGTCCTGGCACCGACATATCTATCGAATCACATACGTCATATTTTTACACGCAATAGAAAGTTACTCAACTTACAGACTAATGAAAAGTTTACAACATTTCAGATTCAATGACGTTAATTAGACATATGTTTCCACTGCATTAAAAAAAAAAACAAAAATCAAATATTATTTTCATACTGACATTTCCTACTAATTTGATTTACACTTACAAATTTAACATATTTCACTATACTTTCAAATTAGGAAAATTTCACGTCAACAGAGTTGAACATTATGACAGCAATATAACAAATTCATAATTTTATATATAATATTATACAGACAATTAAAATTGACATGTATAGGTATTGACATAAAATCATGTTTATTTGCCATTTAGGGTAGGCGTTTGGGTTTGGCGTACGGAGTTTGTCATACTTTTACTCGTTTGTGGCGCAACCTGAACCACGATTAAACAAATTTTCATTGAAAGTTTGCTGTTCAATAACAAATTATAGCTTTATTAAAAACTTACTTAATAGCACCATGAATGTATAACTTCCGCTTCAGCTATCCTTAGATATGCAGCTCACCAACCGATAAATATTACATAACCAAAATATTAACACTTAAAAAAGTTTACATACATAACAAGGCCGTCAATGCGAAATGTGGCGTTTAAACTAAAAATAAAAACCCCCGAATACGAAAGCATCAATTTTATTGTATTAAATCACAATTTTCATAACACCAAGGAAACAGGCAAGATACCTAGTGCAGATCCTTGAAGCAAACACCCGTGCAGCGCTAAGCTACGGTGGAGCCTGCTGCTTACACACGAGCAGAGGCGATAGCGGCAAAAGCGATATGCCAGATTCTACAGACTACAACTTCTCACGCTGAGAAGAAAGAGAATTCTCATAGTTGCTTTACGCTTTACTTGCTTGCTTATTTAAGTGTTTTTTTTTTGTTTGTAGGAACTGTGTTGTAGGCGCTTGTGTACGCGCATAGTTGGAGGCACTCTAAAGCTGCTAATACAATTAAAGTCTTTTCAGTTCAGCTTGAAAATTAATTAAAACTTGTATTGCAGCAGATTAAAATGAAAGACGTGTTGTATACGAGTATTTTGAAACAAAAGCAGAGCGTAAAGAGCAGCGGGTTAAGACCTGAGAGCCTTATGCCTAAACACGGTACTTCAAAAGAAAAGCATTATTGGGCTTTGGTTTATGAAAAGTGAATGGTCACAATCTTATTAGTTTCACGTTGAATGGCGTTTAAGTAAATTTTGTTAGCAATTATGTAGATAAATAGTGAGATTTAAAAGCGATAGTCAAAGAAAGCTCATTTGAAAGCAATTGAACGGCAGAATTTATTTACAGTTATTTCGCAGTAACAAGATAATAACCTTTTTGTGGGATGAAGATAAAGGCGTTTAAGTGGATGTTGAAAAATTTCAATATAGCTGAGAAGTATCAGAGATGGTATCGGTGGAAGAAATTAAAAGCAAAACTTTAGAAATTAATAGAGTTAACTTTCTAATATTTCAAAACGAACCTAATTGAATTCGAGGTATGATATACAGGGTAGTCTATTATGGAATGATATAAAGTGAAATAAAGAATTTCACATAGATTTCGGAGTGGTGCTAAAGCAACCCCAAAAAACGGATAAAAAAATTTGCTCGTTCCTCTCTGGGAGCTCTGGCAACTTCTTTAGACCACTTTTCTCCAAAAACAATACTGTCAGGGACCTTTTATCACTGGAGGACACTAAAGAATTTACATAAACGTTGGAAATCTGGTCCATTGCCAAAACAGTCTGGTCTAAGTAAAAGAAATAGACCCGGATTTTTCTCCGTCCAAAGGTTTCAACTCGGTAGCACTCTTTAAACGTTTTTGGAAAATATTTTCTGACAAAACAACAATAATAACTGAATATTTGAATTTCGATTCACCACCAATTACTGCATGCCATACCGTAGAGCGTGCTTACGGGCCCTCAGTGGTGATTAGAAGCTGTATCCGAACTCTGTTCTAAGGTCATTTGACATATATCAAAAGGCAAATTCAGACGAGATCTCTATTAAAACAGAGAAATCGACCAAAGAAGAGAACAAAATTAACGGAATAAAAAAGTCTAAAGTTATGCCGTTCCCTCGACAAAGGATTGTATACAGAAATTTTTTTTTAGGGTTATGAGTCACCTTGTACATATGTACATATATTTAGTAACATAAAAAAGTCAATGTAAAATTTAGAAAAATTAAATAATTATTTTAAAAATTATAGTATTATCTATCATTAAAAAACTTTTTTTTTATCTACTACTAACCGTTACCAACGCTATTTTTTCACCCGCAGAACCAAACTTCGTCGGCTCCTTTGACATTGGCGAGTATGTGTATTTCTTCTTCCGCGAAACTGCTGTCGAATATATCAATTGCGGTAAGGCCGTGTACTCACGTATCGCACGCGTTTGCAAAAAGGACATTGGTGGTAAAAATCTGCTCGCACACAATTGGGCCACCTATTTGAAGGCGCGTTTGAATTGCAGCATCTCCGGCGAATTTCCATTCTATTTCAATGAAATCCAATCTGTATATCAGCTGCCAACGGATAAGACACGTTTCTATGCGACATTCACGACCAGCACAAATGGCTTAATCGGCTCGGCGGTGTGCAGTTTTCACATCAACGAGGTGCAAGCCGCTTTCAACGGTGAGTAGTGAGTAAAAGAGAGTGTATTAAAAGAGATTAAATGAAATTGCAGATTTAGGGGTGCGTGAAAATGCATGGGATTAGCTGTGTACTTCATATGAGTGGCTTAAGAGTCTTATGATTTAATTGATATTTGCTTTTAATTAATATTTTATTTTTGTGTTTGTAGAGATTTGAAGCAATTTATGACTAAAGAACGTGTTCTAATTGAAAATATATTTTTACTCACTTGTTTATATGTATATTCTCTTAACTTTGATTTTTTTTTATATATATAGGTATGTATGTACTACTTGTATATGTATTTCTTTATTTTTATTTTCTGAATTTTAAAAGTTCATGCAAAGCACTGAAAATATTCGCTTTTGTGTGCAATTTTTACATAAAATATTCAGATTTAATTTGAACGAGATAGTACAAGGTACAAAGGTTTTGTTTGCAATGCTTGTAGTTCATATTCAAAATGTGTATATATGTATGTTTGTAAATCTTATTCGACATAGTTTTGAACTCTCGTTCCCTATGTGCCAGCAGCTCACTAAGTTGTTCTAAAAATGTTGTAACTTTGCGCTCCATGAGACTGAACTATCAAGGAAATTATTTACTGAAACCAAGTATTGTATATGTAATGATATGTATCACATACCTCAATCAAAGTAAGCAAAAGAACGAAGATACTGGTAAATCGTATTAGAAAATCCATTTTGATAGATTATGAATATCCTGTTGAAGCGGTTAAGCTTCTCAAATGCTGTGGAAGTTGATATACATACGTTGAACTCTTCACATATGACTAAGTATATATGTATGTCCGTAGATATACCACAAAACACACTATTTTATCGAAGTGAATTTGAGGAGACGCGCATTAACCGTTTTGTGAACTACAACTTTGCTTGCTTCCCTTTGCGGTTGCTAGAATACAGAGAAGTGCTGTTTAATGTTCGTTAGCGGTTGATCCGCTTGTATGCATATAATATTAAATTTTTCTAGAAGATTCGAGGCCATTGATTGAATTATTAAATTATGATAGAAAAAATAATAAAAATAATTTATTTCAATCATTATTTTATTTTATTTAAATTTTAATATTAATTTTAATTTTAATTATTATTATAATTAATAAATATTTATTATTTATTTCAATTTTAATTTTAAATTCATGATGATTTCAAATGAAATTACTAATTTAATTTGATCATAACTTTATTTTATTTTGATTTTAATTTCAATTTCAACTTTCATTTTAATATTAATTTCAATTTTAATACTAATATTAATTTTAATTATTATTATAATTAACTTAATTTTAATATTAATTTCAATTTTAATTTTTATTTTAATATTCATTTTTATTTTAATTATCATTATTATAATTAAATAATTTTAATATTAATTTCAAATGCAATTTTAATTATTATTAATTTAATTTAAATATTAAATTCAATTTTAATAATAATTAATTGTAATATAAATTTTAATTTTAATTTTGATATTAATTTTAATATTAATTTTAAATTCAATTTTAATTTTAATTAATATTAATTTAATTTAAATATTAATTTCAATTTTAATTTTAATTATTATTAATTTAATTTAAATATTAATTTCACTTTTAATTTAATTTATGATTATAATTAAATTAATTTTAATATAAATTTTCATTTTAATTTTGATATAAATTTTAATATTAATTTCAATTTTAATTTTATTATTATTTAAATTTTAATTATTATTAAAATTAATTTAATTTTAATATTAATTTCAATTTTAATTTTAATCTTATGATGATTTACAATGAAATTAATCTATTTTGATCATTATTTTATTTTATTTCATTTAATTTTGATTTTGATTTTAATTTTAATTTTAATTTTAATTTTAATTTTAATTTTAATTTTAATTTTAATTTTAATTTTAATAACTTTAACTTTAACTTTAACCACTATTTTTTGTCAGACTGTTCTCTCTAAAATTTCATGTTATTAATTTCTCTTCTTCTCTCACCTTTCCAGGCAAATTCAAAGAACAATCTTCATCCAATTCAGCTTGGCTGCCAGTTCTAAATTCACGTGTACCCGAACCACGGCCCGGCACCTGTGTCAACGACACCTCAAATCTCCCCGACACTGTATTGTACTTTATACGCTCGCATCCGCTTATGGATAAAGCTGTGAATCATGAGCACAACAATCCGGTCTATTATAAACGAGATTTGGTATTCACTAAACTTGTTGTTGACAAGTAAGTTTACTTTGCTTATTTATTTCCGAGAAGTGGTATACAAATTATTATATGCATATGTGGTATATAAGTTTGTGCGAACATTTAGTTTAAAATGTATTGTTAGCTAGTTATATCCATTATCCCATCTCTAACCAATTGCAACTTCTTTACTTATACATGCACCAGACCGTGTGTGTTTATTAAGTGCCATGTTTGCATGAAACTGGAACGTGGGTTCTGTGTGATCCATCTAGGAGCTAGTTTTTCGATTATATCCGGCTTTGAGTGCGATTGCTTGTCAATGTGGTTTTGACTCGCTTAGATGGCATTATTTTGGCAGGAAGTAAATTTAGAGAGTTTCCAAACAATTCAATTAAAAAATATTGGTGAAAACATAAGCATACCGGTGCATATATACATATATAGACATCTATATACTCGTATATGTACAGTATTCAAAAAATGTGCTCAAAATGCTCGGGAAGTATTCTACATAATATAATATATAAATATCTATCAATTGCAGCCAACAATGCAATACAATTACTTTCCATTGCTAATAGTATTTTATTAAATATTCAGAAAAGAGTAATATAATTTAGATTACAATTTTTTACACATTTTTGTACATATAAATGCACATGTATGTATTCTACATCACATATATACATTTATTATAGTTAAATTACTCTCATTAATCTCCAAAGTACGCTTGCAAATTTGTGACGTATTTAAGAGTACGTGTTACGACCAATAATGACCTGTAATTACAATTTCAATTAACAACAAATATTTTGAAAAAATGCCGTTAATCTGAGTTTTATTGGTATTTGAGTGGTGTGAGAAATCCACTCATTAAATATTTATATTTGTACTATATATTTATACCCTTCGAAGATAATTAAAATATTGTTAGTTTTCGGAATATATTGAAAGTCACCACACCAAGTCAGGCATGCTTAACAAGTTATTAACCGATTTTTGAAAATTTTAGAATAGTGAAAAGTGCCATCAGCCAGAACTTTACCCGATACTCCAGACTTCCGATTAACTAGTATGGATTATTGTCGTTTCGCTGTTGTAAAACATTTTCTCATAAGAATTTATCAATCAAATATTTATAAAGAAGAGTTTCAGAAAATGTTGAGTATTACTAATTTAGGTTTACCATATCTTAAAAAAGAAATATTAATCTTAATCCTAAAAAATTTCCCATAGTAATATTTTACCTGAAATTTCAAAAATGTACCCAACAACTGCTGAAGTCTTGAAAACGTTGCCTACATTTACGCGCGCACATTATTATTGTAAATGTTTGCTCTGTTTTTATAATGTAGTAACCTATAGATACCCTCTGTGGTACAAATATCTGGACGCTTTCTTCTAGACAGCTTTTGCTGTTCAATTGAGATACCCATGATCTTCACTGCGGTATAAGCCTCTAAATTAAATTTAACCTAACCTACCCTCGAAAATATTTACTAGTTACCATGGAGGTATTTCCAATGAAAAAATTTTGCTTTTATGAGACTTGTATTGATTTGCTTATAACTGTATCAGAAAAATGTTTAATTAATTTTTAAGTGAAATGTTTTTTTACTTACGAACACGTTAGTTATTAACTGTTATTACCTTATGATTGATCAACAGCTGAAATCATTTTTCCCACATTAGTCGACATTATTTTTTACAGTAATTACGTTTCCGCCTCACAACTAACAATTTTTCAATTTCGCCTTAGCCACAGACTCATTTACATAAATGCAATGTGTTTCAAAATCGTCATCAAATTATTTTTTAATTAAATTTTAGCTCATTTAAGTGCAAATATGGTAAGGGACACATGGTGTCACATTTGGCCAACAGTTTTTATACGTAGTGCCATGAAACTTTTTTTTATAGTCTTATATATGTATAATCTACATACCTGAGTTTAATTTTAATATGCCGCATTGCTGCAAATTAATTTTTAATGTGATTCAAATATAGAACATATTTTTAATTGTATGTGTGTATAAATATGTAAGCATATTTATATTTGTATGCATTTGTGGGAGAGTTGTTTTCAGTAAGTTTCACTGAGGCATGTGTGCCTGCATTTAAACAGTGATAGACAATGGTGATTTTGCTTGATTTCACTTTTTGTTCGATTGTTTGAACGCACGATGAATACTTTGACAATTTATGCAAATATTTGTGGCAAGCGGAATCAATAAAGCCAGAAAAGGCAGAATTAATATCCAAATGCAATTAAATTTCACTTACACTATAGTTGACAGTTGAAGCGAGAGCATGCAATTTACGCAATCAACAGAAATTCAATCAAAATAATATTGCCAATTTTATAAGCACTTGAGAAAAAAACAGCAACAACAATAACAAAATAAAATTGAAGCAACGTTTATGGTCATAAGGGTAACAGTATAACATTTTATTGCCTATCTCGCTGAAATTTTACTTAAAGTGTTAATTAAAAAAAAATTTGGCAAGTTCATAGAAATTACAAAAATTTCGGTTTATTAGTTCGAAACGTTTATATATTTAGCTTAATCCGGATTATGGGCTCATAAGGTATAAACCACGAAAAGTTCCGGCATGCAAATCATACCACAGATTTATTTGGATGCAAAGATTCCTTGAGAGTTTCTTCAGCATTATTTTCACCCCAGTACTGTAATTGTGCCAAATCAGAAAAAAGTGATCAGTATATACAGCCCAGAATAAAAGTTTTGAAAAGAAAATTTCACTATATTTTACGTTTAATCGTAATCACGCGTCGAATACGATGAATAGAATGAGCATTCAGGTCTTTTGGTACGTGTCCCAAAACATTAAGCAAAATGGTTGAGTCGACCCATAAGAGGTGTTGAGATCCTCTGCTATCTCTCTGATGCCAACACGACGATTTTAAAGCACAGCTTCTTTAATTTTTTCAAGACCTTCACCGAATGCTTTGTGCCTTTCAAATACTTATGTACGCTATAAAGCTGATTCCCCAAAACACTTCTTCAAACTTTTCAGCAACTTTTTAGATGTAATTCCATTGAAAAAACAAAACTTCAAGCAAACTCGTTGTAAAATTTTTTCACACGAACATTTTTCCACATAAATAAGGTTGTACCAATCTAGGAAATAATTTTTTATCAATTCTGTTTGGGCGCGCAGTTTGTAGGGACCTGTCTAAAGCAAATTTATTCTTTACTCTATATTAATTGGCTTGCTATACCTCCCGAAAAATTCTACATTTCCAAAAACACCCAATATAAACGTATATGGTAGGATAACTTATATTAATGCTGCTTTACACACATTCACCATAAATGTATTTGATTTTTTCAATTCCGAAAAAAGGAATCATTGTTTTTTAAAGGGAATCATTGTTTTTTAACTGCAAAGTCTATAGTCTTTGAATAACCTACAGTGGGTTCTGACATAAAAAAGTGAAACTAAAATATACATATCAACTGCGTCATTATTAAATTTGGAAATACAAGTCTGACTAAAGTCCAAATATATTAAAAGCTACTAATAATTTTCAATATTAAAAATTTTATGAATAGAGCAATTTTCATCCCAAAACTGGTTCTCTCTGATATATAGGTGGCAATTTCGCAGAGAATATATTTTTAAATTTGTGAAACATATCTTTACTTACTCGAGGAGGTTCATAGTATGCCTATGTTCCTATATGTTAATGAAAAAAACTTAGTCGTATTAAAAATATATATAAATCAGTCACAGGTATAATTCACTAAAGTAGAGCCGTGATCCGTGTAGATTGCGACTCCCAGAAAACGGTGATCATAACCTTTTTGCCGCCTTCTTCTGTGCAGTCTAAAGTTCACTGTTACGTCAGTTTCTTAGTGTCTGGTATGTATTAGTAGTTACATAATTCATCGACAGTAACGCCAAGGCAACAACGACAAGTGTAAACGTGGTCACAAACTGCTATGAAGTGGTGTAACGGTTGTATATATTATCCGAAATGCTTTCTCATATCCAATAACTCATGCAATTTACAACCCACACAGTTTTTTGAAATGCCTACTGTCTCTTGCTCATTGAATAGGCAGTCAATCAATACGAGGTTGTGGACTTTTTTCACATTATCATTTTTAGGTAACCTTGATTTAGCTCTGCAAAAACAAACGACGACATTGTAACTCATTTGAAACCAATTTTTATTAGTCTACTCTAGTATTGTTACTGCTTTTGCCTACAGTTTCCAAAAACTCGATTTATTGTCCTCCGAAACACTGTCTTCCAGCCGGTCAGCAATTCATCGCAAATCTGACCGCACTATCGCATTTATAACGACCGCGAAGCGTGTAATAAAATGAGCTGCCACATTGAATTTACCATAAATAATTAAGAGCTGAAGTGCACAGCCGGCGTCCAAAAGCTGCCTCAAATGGCCACACTTAAGCCATCACACACAGCGCTCCGGCGATCTTGATGCGCTCCGGTAAACTTTGCGCCACTTCTTTCTTGTTCACGTGCCGCGAAGTGCTCAGCTTTCCACGACAGCCACGCATATTACAATGATTGTGGCATCAGTGGCGGCAATTATACATATTACAATGCTAGCGGCGGATACATCTAGGGATTTTCATTTTTCATCTCACTGCCACATCGCCTTTGCTATCAGCCATCTTGTGGTATATGTATATATATAAGCTTGTACATATATACATACATATAAGTTTTAATAATTCTTCGGCCATTCGCCACTTGTACACTTAATGCCTTTGAGCGCCTGTAAGTAGGCAACAGCAATAAATGCAACGCGTTGCAGCTAAATTTTCGCTGCTTGATTTTTGCTCGCTACCAGGACGCTTAAATTGCACACTCACTCATACTCGTCTTAATGAAATTGCGAGCGAAATGCGCAGCTTTATGTGATTCATTTTAATTTTTACCTTGAAGTGTTTGTGTGTTGTTCTTTTCGGCTGCATATAATTTCGTGCATTATACGCTCTTCGCGGCGCAATGAAAAGCTTCGCACAATAAAATTGATATCACCTTTGTTATTAAATATGCACACTTAATTCTTGCTCAACCGCCATACTAGTGACATGGTTTGCCAGCCTCATTGCTGTTGTTGCGGCTTAATTATTTTATGCGCTGTGCATTTTTGATTTCACATCAAGAAAATTTAAAACGCACAAAATGGCTATGGCTGCCGCCCAATGCACAGTTGTATCTTAATGGCGTGGCAAGCTCTCCTTCAATGCGCTGCCACTGCCACTTGGCTGCAGCAATCTCACTCACATTGTAATGACCAAGCGCACGTGTTGCACGCATCATATTAATATCCATTTTTAATGATTTATTAATGCCTTTATTTATATGCACAATCACTTAAACGCACAATACAAGCATCAACTTTTGTGTGTATTTTTTGCCGTTGAAACGCTTCAGTCATCATCAAAATAATCCCGATCAGATAACAAGGATTTCATTGATTTCAGCAACCGAATGAAAAAAGGATAAAATATGAAATCCTTTCTTTATCGTTTGCTTAAGTACTCAGATCAGCGAATTTAATTGATTTCTTATTGAGATTCACAATTTTTCGGTTATTGAACGAGCGCAATACAGTGCACAGATATGGTAGAAAAGGATTAAGGATAAGTTAAATTCGAGTGGAATCACAAAAAAAAATCGTCATATAAAAATTTAATAGGAGATATTGCTTTATACAAGAATGTATTTATCTTACCATATTCATCGTACTTAAGTACATACGTTCTTCGAATAAATTTATCTTTGTATCTCATTTTTGAATACGTCTGTTGTGCACTGTGACTCACAGATGACTACCTTAACGCCCCAAGCTCAGTTATTATTGGCGCCATTTTGGAATAAATATGAAATTAATTTTAAGAAATCAATTTTTAATTAAATTAAATAGCGATTTCTAGCGCTTTTTTTTTTGGTAAAACTGAAAATTATAGAAAAAAAATTTTTTTTTAACATTTCTTTAAACGTAAAACATACAGCTAATAAAAATATTATATTGTATAAAACTGTCTAGCAAGTTAGGATCGCAAAATTTTTTGCAAAAATATTCTTTAATAAGACATAAAAGGAGGAAATCCTTGACTCACAAAAAATAAATTCAGAAACTTTTTTTTATACCATTGTTTAGGTCCTGTCTGTCCATCTGTATATACGCGATAGCTCAGTTTTTGAGATATTGATCTCCTCAAGGAGTTGCCCATCGCCGCTATCGGACCACTATAGCATATAGCCGCCATATAAATTGAACTATTACAATTATGTCCTTGAACGGACAATTTTTTTATTTGAAAAGATATATTCACGAAATTTGGCATAGATTTTTACACTAAACTAGACGCTACAATCTCAGAGCAAGTTATTCAGATCGGACACCTATAGCATATAGCTTCCATACAACAGACCGATCAAACTCAAGTCATTATATGGAAAACCTTTTTATTTGACAAGATGTCTTCACAAAATTTTACATGGATTGTTATCCAAGGCATCTACTACAATCGCCGTTCAGATTGAATAACTATAGCATACCGATCACAATCCAAATTAAGATATTTGTATACCCTTTTGTGTAATAAAAAATGCACTTTAGAAGAGTATTACAACTTCGGTGCAGCCGACGTTAACTTTTTTCTTGTTTTTTTTATAAATTTCAATTACAGATCATTTTCTTTTCAATTTTTTCTGCTGTCTTCAATTCTGAAAATGTTAGTGAGTAGTGAAACTATACCAGTTGGTCAAACAGCTCCTTTAGCTCCACTTTTCGCTAATTTACACTTTATCGTATATGCTATTGTTAAGCGCTTCTTTTTTGGTGAATAAATACTTTTCGGTTCCAAAAGATATTATTATATGGTATACTCGTTTGAGATTTCTTTGTGGATTGACTGATATTTTCGGTAGAAGGTCAACTATAGGCACTGGAGTCCAATAGTTAGTACTTAGGGGTTTGAACAGTTTTGGTTCGATTTAGACAATTTTTGGCCGCAAGGTGGCATACTTTAATTGCATTATTCACGCAAAGTTTTACCCCGATATAATCATTGTTACCTGATTTGCATAGTGGAAAGTGAAAGAATCAGATGGAATTGAAAATGGTGTTACATGGGAAGTAAGCGTGGTTGTAGTCCGATTTCGCCCATTTTCGCACTATGACATAGAAACATGAAAAAAACGTTATGCACCGAATTTAGTTGAAATCGGTTGAGCAGATCTCAAGATATGGGTTTTCACCTAAAAGTGGGCTGTGCCACGCCCACTGACTAATTTTGAACGCGGTTTCTATAAAGCCAATTTATACCATCTCAGAGATAAAATTTAATGTCTCTGGCGTGTTTAGTGCTTGATTTATCGCGCTTTTAGTAGTTTTTAACAGTACCGTTATATGGGGAGTGGGCGGAGTTGCAACCCGATTTCAACTATTTTCACACCGTCAATAGAAATGCTAAAAACATTTGCTTCTAGTGAATTTTGTTATTATAGCATTAGCGGTTTAGGAGATATGCACATTAAACCTATTAGAGGCGGGACCACGCCCACTTTTTAAAAAAAAAAGTTTAACTGCAGATGCCCCTCCCTAATGTGAACCTGTGTACCAAATAACAGTCTTGTATCTTATTGCGGAGCTTAGTTATGGCAAGTTATTTGTTTTTGATTAATGGCGTTTTGTGGGCGTGGCAGTGGTCCGATTACGCCCATCTGCAATACCAACCGTCTCACGGTACCAAGAAACATGCCTACCAAGTTTCACAAAGATAACTCAATTTTTACTCAAGTTAGAGCTTGCACGGTCGGACGGACAGACGGACAGACGGACGGACAGACGGACGGACGGACAGACAGTCACCCGGATTTCAACTCGTCTCTTCATCCTGATCATTTATATATATATAACCCTACATCTAACTCGATTAGTTTTAGGTGATACAAACAACCGTTAGGTGAACAAAACTATTATACTCTGTAGCAACAGGTTGCGAGAGTATAAAAATCAATGAGCGAAATTTCAAAATATCGATAATGGACTAAATTATTGCAGATAGCAACTTTCCATACAATACTTTTCTTATCGATCACTTGTTTCATACAAGAGAAACATCATTTGGGAAGAGTGTCAATATTTCTTTTATATTAATATTTTCAAATTTATTCACTTAGAATATGTAAGTTGCCTTTTATAATTCAAGATTACAAGACAACTGTTGCAATCTCACAACTCATAACTTTAACGTAAAGTTTGACATTTTCGATGTTATGCATACTCAGAACGTTTTGTCATACAAGCGCTATAAGTGTTATTTACAGTAATTTAAAATATTAATCTTGACCAAAAAATGGAATTAAATCGCGAACATTTTTTACAACTATCGACGTGAATTAACTCAGCATATGTACATAGAGCTTACTTGTAATCGAGAATATTTTGAAATACAATAAAGCTATTTTCGTTGATTAATATTTGTTGTTTTTCTCTTATCTCGCAACATCAAAGGCAACCCTTAAAATCTTGTCTTATCTTAATCTTAAATCGAAAAATGTAATAGGCACATTTTCTTCCTATTTTCTTTTCAAAATTAATTTTAACCCAAACCCAAAAATAATGAGAATACTAATATTCAATGAAAAATTATAATTAGAGGTAAATTTTATCAAAAATAAACAACAAAAATTAACTGCTCTACTCCATAACGTTCCATATTAATTAATTTTTCCATAAAATTTGACTAAATTTTTTCCATAGCTCGGAACCTTTCATATATGACCAAAAGGAAATCAGATTTTTGGAATTAAATACAAAATCTCAATATTGTAACACAGTGTTATTATGAACTCTTTTTCTCTTTCTTCGACAGAATTCGCATTGACATACTCAACCAAGAGTATACCGTCTACTATGTGGGCACCAATTTGGGACGTATCTATAAAATCGTACAGTACTATCGTAACGGTGAATCGCTGTCGAAATTGCTTGACATCTTCGATGTGGCACCAAAAGAAGCGATACAGATGATGGGTCTCAGTCAGGCACGTAAATCGCTCTATGTTGCCACAGATCATCGCATCAAGCAAATCGATTTGGCGATGTGCAATCGACGTTATGACAATTGCTTCCGTTGTGTGCGTGATCCCTATTGCGGCTGGGACAAGGAGGCGAATACCTGCCGCCCATATGAATTGGATTTGTTGCAGGTGAGCAGCAAGCAAACATGCATACAAGTTTTCCGGGTGTGTGTGTGTGCATTTGAAAATTGCTTGTGACAACAACTCAATGTACAAGTAAATGCGACGGGCGCACGCGTAAATCAACGTTGTTGATGCAGAGCAACCGGTTGTTAGACAAACCAACAGTCAGCATGGTGCGGAAACCTGTAAACAGTTATTGAGACATTGAGCTATGCGCACAGACATTGAGTTAGACATGCAGACAGACAAACGGCAAAATGATAGACAAGCGTCGATTGGCTTGGAAGCAGTTACACGTTTCGTGTTGCCTTGTTTGTGTGTGTCTACGCTGCATGCGGCAGCAATTTTCCAGCACAACACCTGCAATGCTGCGTTGCATGCAAATTTCGTCGATATCCTTTTATGATTTCCTGTATTATATACAAACAGAGTTATAGGTATACATATACATATATAAGCTATATTTTCCTTTCGCTCTTTGCAGGATGTTGCCAACGAAACCAGTGATATTTGCGACTCCAGCGTGTTGAAGAAGAAAATCGTCGTCACCTATGGGCAGAGCGTGCATTTGGGTTGTTTCGTTAAAATACCAGAAGTGCTGAAGAACGAGCAAGTTACCTGGTATCATCACTCAAAGGATAAGGGACGGTAAGACACCAGTTTTCTTTTTATTTTTCTTGCATTTTTTTTCTGCTTTTACTATGTTAAAAAAGCAATTTTCTGTCGTGAATCACTATTCTCGCTTTCTTCACACACATTTTTGGTTATTTTTATTTTTCTTTTTTTTTTTTGCTTTCTCACAGCTACGAAATCAAGTACAGTCCCACCAAGTATATTGAGACCACTGAGCGCGGTTTGGTTGTCGTATCGGTGAATGAAGCGGATGGCGGTCGCTATGATTGCCATTTGGGCGGCTCCTTATTGTGCAGCTACAACATCACCGTCGATGCACACAGGTGAATAAAATTACATATATTATCCGTTATGTTGTAAATAATATAATTTTCCTGCGAAAATATTCTAAAACTCACTTTGTATTTATACAACTTTCAGATGCACTCCGCCGAACAAAAGCAACGATTATCAGAAAATCTACTCGGACTGGTGTCACGAATTTGAAAAATACAAAACCGCTATGAAATCGTGGGAAAAGAAACAGGCGGTAAGTTTATATACTAATATGCGTGTGCGTAATAATTTGATATTCGCGTAGCTTTATAAATATTTTGACATTTCGGACAGGCGGTCATTTAGGCAATTATTGAGTAAGGAACGTTGATAGAAATGAAATCAAGTATTTACACTGGGAAAAATGTTTAGTAGCACTTTTATGATTTCCTTCAAAACAATATATATACGTATACAATATATAGTATATACCTGAAATAATATAATATTTTATGCTCAAACGCTTGGATTAGTTGAGGCCATTAAGTCCTTAATTGACTAGTTCTGGCTCAATATGGAATAACTACTAGTGTTGTTAAGCTAAACCTAAAATTGTATAACAATTAGCAATACCATGTAAAAATAGGTAAATTAGTTAAAACAATAAAGACTCAATTAATGTCGTTCTGGATAATAATTATTAAGCAGATTTTGTTTAAAATCATATATATCCCTGAAATTGGATAGCAACAACAACAATACCATGTTCAAGCAGTTGAATAAGCTGAGGCAATTATGGCATTAATTAACTCGGATTGGTTAAGTAAAGAAAACCTTAAGCTTTTACAAAGCAGATTTCAGATCAAGTACATACATATCCTTGAAATATAATATATATTTGATAAAAACTGTTTAAATAGATGAATTAGCTGAGGCAATCAAGAACTTAATTATTTCATTTTGGTTAAGTATAGAAAGTGCTATGAGTTATTATACATATTTTATTTAAAATCAAATATACTATTTAAATTGAATAACAATTAGCATTATCAAGTTCAAACAGATAATTTAGTAGAGGCAATTAAGATCTTAATTTTTTCGTTTTGGTTACGTATGGAAAGCCTCGATTAGATATCTCTCAATTAGTAATATTATGCTGAAACAAGCGAATCAATTGAGGCAATTAAGATACAAATTGAGTTGTTGTTTGAGTGTGTTCAAAATTCACTCATTTTTATAGAGAAATATTTCTATGTGGAATAAATGGAAAGCAACCCAACTTTAAATAACGTTAGTATTGAACTTATCTGGTCGATAATGTCGAGTTTTAACGGTAATGGGAATGAGAAAGAAGCCAAAATAATCCGACAAATATTAAGAATAAAAGGAAACTGAAAATACTGATATAGACATGATTATTGTTTTAACTTTATCTTTCTTTGATTATGGAGTCTCCAAGATTTTGCAAAATAGATAGATGGATTACCTGTGTTGTTCTCAATTTCAAATAATTTTCACCTATCTTTTTCAAGTGTACTTCCATTTTGCATGTCACTACTCCCAGCAATACGTCGAAGAATAATTCAGCAATTATTTTAAAAATGGAACGCTTAAACACTTTCCTCACCACACTTATACTGACATCTTCAACTCCGCCTCTTGCAACTGGGAAAATTGCTGCACGCTTGGCCAGGTGTTGTCGCAACACCCGTCAACGACATCACCATAGCACTGTAAATTGGTGAAGGTGTGTCTGTGATGGCCACAATTGCTACTTTGCCACTTAAACTTGTTCGGATTTTATCGCGAATGTTTCATAAATATTATATAAGACTTTTAATGGCATACCATAAATGCCACACATTTTGTGAGGTACACCCTCTCTATGTATGTGTAATTGTAGACGAACGCTTGTGGGTCAATATGTCAAATACACGTCAAAGTCTTAAATATTTAATACAGGCTGATGTAAATACATAATTGTAACTCTATAGTTATTAAGTGGCTTTTAAATACTCAAGCTGTAGAATAATTGTTGGGAGTGTTATCTAGTAGATAGTGAGCCGGGGCTTTAGCACTAGAAATATGAATATTTATAGTCACAGCTAGTTTTTCTATAGTTCTTGAACATAAAAGCTGCCAAATAATCTTAAGAATCTCTAGAAAAATAATAAATTTCTTCACGTACAGTTATGTTTTAATAACTTGTACCCACCGTGTTGCAACGCAAAGAAAGTTTAAACCTAGGAATCTTAAATATAGTCAAGAACTTGACCATATGCTAAATATTTTAACAATATTATACATTATTTATTCATATACTCTAATATATCATATACTTTATGTTCTCTCTCTTGCTTCTCTCAGCAATGTTCATCCCGCCAGAACTTCAGCAATCAGCATCCCAATGAAGTTTTTCGTAAAAACAATGTCTGATATCAAGAAAATCAACTACAACTAACGTCCATAAAACTGCATCTATAAGAGGTAAAGATTGATCGGGAACAACTAATGACAACCAAATGAGGAGTTGGAGAACTGAGGGGTTTAAATTGAGAGGTTGCGAGATTAAGTGGCGGCTGGTTATATAGGTATAGCGGGAGGAGCTTTCATATGTGTCTAATCTTACGAAAGCTTGATAACGGTGTGGAAGTTAAAAGTTGAGAACTAAATATGGAACTTAAGGGCGGCATACATGAAAGCTTTTAAGAATTTAAGTTGACAAGATCGAGAAACATCGATATTACATTAGATACATACTTGTAGCTCAGCATTCAAGCGTTCATGAAAAATTTAAAATTTAATTAATGACATAAGCAACAGTTATAAAATAAATTTTGACAAGCGTAAACAAAACTGAATACACTCAAGCAATCGCATTATAGCTAAAAAAAATAACATAAAATAATACGGTAAAATTTACTGAAAAAATAATACTGTAAGATATTTAAATTTAATAATAAAAATTTAAAATTAACAAAACAAAAACATATTACAAACGCAAAAACAACACAAGCATAAAGCAAGCAAAGCTAAAATCTACAAAACCAACGAAAGTTCCCGCATTGAAACATGGTTGAAAACACCCTTTAAAACGAAAAATTAAAAATAATTATTAATAATTAAAAATAAAAAATAGCACAGGATTACAAGCATAAAGGCGATCCATAAATGCGCAATGCAAAACAAAGATGAAACAATTACACAAATAAAAAAAATTAAAATGCAATTAAAATACACTCATGCATGCATAGACAAGCAATACAACAACAAACAGCAAATAAAACAGTTAAACAAAGAAAAAACTTGAAACACATTACAACAACAACAAAAGCACAAACATATGTATTATTAGTAAAACATAATAAATACAAAAGCAACGCGGCTTAATTTTTTCGCAATAAATAGGCGTTAAATACATAGGCTACTAAATATTGACAGTAAAAACAATAATTATACACAAATTAAATCATGAAGAAAGCGGGGAAAAAAAGGCAAGCGCAAACACGTACAGCTGGCAACAATTCCGATTCAATAAAAGGCAATACATTTTTTTGAAGAGACCGAAAACAATTGGCGCCGAACTGATAGCATTAAGTTACCATTTTTTACAAGCTCATAATTTTACAATAGCAACAACAAAAACTACAAGCAAATCCCGTAGTTGATAAAAAGTTTAAAAGCAAGTTTTCAAGTACATATAGAGGTATAAGCAAGAGCATAGCGGTATAATAATGTAAGTAGAACCATGGTACTACAACATTTTGGCATTTGAGAGTAGATTCAGCTTTTTTGAAAATGTTTCTAATATAGTATTGAACTTATTCGCAACTTTCAGCAATTTTCGTATTTTAAAAAATAGTTTTATATTCTAAAGTTACATATTTGTAAATTTTTACTTACATTTTTATTCTCAATTCGGACTACAACTGAGCTTTTTCTATAAAAGCTCAAAAATTTAGAATATTCATATTTCACCTGTGGATTTTAAGAGCCTCAAAATTTGGGAGCTTATAGCTTAGGTTAGCACTCGGCAAGAACCCTGCTTGTTATTTGATATACATGTGTGTATGATACAAGTAGCAGAGTTTGTGACTTTATGATCTGTGAAAGCTTTTGCTCAAAATTGTGAACTTAAAGCTCTGGTCAACACGAGACAAGAGCGCTACTTGTTATTTACATATATATATACTCATATATCAATGTATAAAAAAGTTGATGAAACTGATGGTGTTTGCTCCAAATTTTTGACAATCATCAAACAATTTAACACAACATTTTGAGCTCGCATACATTTTTTAAGATTTGAGCTCAGGCATGAAAAAATATAATCTATAAACTTGCCGTAGTATTAACATTTCCTTTATGTTCATCAATATATGCTTACATGTATAGGAATTGTGACAGATAGCATTTAACATGTTTGCTTAGAAAAAACCCAAACTTTGAAAAAAAATTATTCTTGGCAGGTTGATGCTTTCTATGCTTTAAAAAAAAGGCCGAAAGCTCCGAATAAACTATTCTACGGTTGAGGTTTTCTAACGAAAATTTGTTTTATCAAAATTTTTGAGAAAATAATCCATAAAAGCTCTCTTTAGAGCTTAAAGCTTAACGAATTAACTATTCTAAGTACGTAGGGGAAATTCATAATGCGGTTTCTAAATAAATTGTGGGCAAAAATAATCTCCCTAGAGCTTTAAGCTTAACACAGTTCTTGATAAAATCAAATTGTTATTTAATATGAAAACTATATTTTATTCGAATATTATTTACAACTACACAAACATTCTCCTTGTCGAAATATGATTCAAATGTTTATATTGAAGAGCTCTTAGACTTTATTTACTAAATTATTTGTTCATTTTCTACTGCTGAACATTGAACAGTAAAATATTTGTTGATATGGAAGAGCTTTTAGGTATTCTTTACTAAACGCTTTGTACAACCACTTTGCTATACGTATACTGAACATGGGAACACTAAAAACTCTGAAAATAAAAAATATGTTCAAAGTTTAGTACAAAAATATCAAGCTTTCTAAACTCTAAATTTCTATAACGAAATATATGTATAACTCTTTTCACAAGATTTCTATTAAATTCACTCATACCCTCATAAACGCGCCTCTTTAAAAGCTCTATCGCTAACTCAAGTTCATAACTAAAACTCACATATGTACTCTTCAGCCCGTTTGCATTGCCTATAAATAAATATTTTCTTTTCAATGAATTAGTATTAAACAAACTCGAATAAATATATGTGTAGACGAAATTATAAGAAAGAAATTACGCATATTAAAATGAAAATCGACAAGCAATGTGATGTTAAGTTTGAATGCATTTAACTATTATTGAACGAAAATCAACTATAACTATGAGCAATTTCGCTTGAGACCTAATAAGTATTTGCTACAAAAACAAAAAAAAAAAACTAATGGAAATTCAACCAATGCACCTTAAGTTACTCTAGCATATTTTTAATCTCAAAATACATACTTTAAATATATAAAATAATCTAACAAAAGTAAAGGAAAAGTAGAAAAATGAGCAAAAGCAACAGCAGTCCATAGCTTTTAAGTCTACGTGCGTTTGAGTATTTAATTGGAATGTTCAACAGCAAAAAAAAAAGAAGCAATTAATCCTTTTTGTAGTTTTCAATAATTTTTCATAAATCATGAAAAGCATTTTCAGTTTTGCATAATAAATATTTAACAAATCAATAAATACTTGAAAGCGTATTGCCTTTGTTTAAATACGACAGATTGCAATCAAAAATTCCTAGCGATGCATTTATTTTTTACTAAAAAAAATAATTTTTACTAAAATATTGCAAAATCTAAATATCATAAAATCATTTTAACAAAACTCCTTTTCGCTTAATCAGACAATTCTTAACTTGGTTTGATACCATTAGTACTTATCGTAAATGTTTGTTGCATTTTAATCACATAAAATATTATGTAAGCAAATACCAATCTAAAAGTTTTACATACATATCTGTTCGTACATTTGTGTGTGCATTTCTGTAGTTAAGTTAAATTTTTGATAGTACATTGTAATTTAAAGATAAACAAAGCAAAACAAAAACTAATAATAATTTTAATGTGCATTTTTCTCTTATTTTCATAACTTTTTTTTTAAACTAGTACTTAAGTGCTTAAACGTAAGAAAGATTATTAATGAAATAAACATATTATTAAAAAAAAAAAAAAAAATTTGAAAATGTTTTCAGTATAATTACATTTTTTGAAGTCTTTAAGTATTACAAATATTTACAAAGAATTAGTTAATAAATAATTTTCTCTTAATCGAGTGTTGAGTAATTTTGAGTGCTCATAAGAAAATCCCTCTGTTTAACAAAATCGAGAAACTCTCAGGTTAGGTTCAGTTAGGTTAGGTAATAGGCCGATTTCTCGTGAAGTCACGAATAATCCCACTTGGACTGCTACAGACGTTCGTTCGCATCCTGATGGAATTCTTATTTTCTTAAAGCTTTCAATGTTTTATGTTATTTGTGAACAGCTTTTTCAACTTTTTCACTGACATCGATAACAAATATTTTATACGCATCAGTTTTTTTAATATTTCTATTATATGTATTTTTTAAATAAATTTTCTAAAAATTTTGAATATGTACTTCTTAGCTGAATACTTTTTATACCCTTTTTATTCCCATCTAATCAATAATAGCAAAAACCTGCAAATAAACAATCTGACCTTCTGCAGAGCGCGCGGCTGCATTCACTACAGATATGCTAAAGTTGAAAGCCAATCTCCTCAACAACAAAATACTAGCGGTTTATTAAGATTTTTGTCAAGTAAAAAAATTATTTTTATTATATAGCAATCTTGACAAAATATGAAGTTTCAGAATGCAACACTTTTATTCCACATGCTTTTGCTTCTGTGTTATTGCCTACGCATTTTTGTTATGAAATTGAAATTTAAAGCTGTCAGAACTCTAATAGGTTTTTGATTATCACATGGGGCCTGTCGAGACACCGGTAAATTTCACGCGTCCAACGAAAACTTTGTAGTATTAACACTCTATGAAAATGAATCACTAAAATCTCGTTAATTTCTTAAGTAATGCCTGCAACCCTTATTTCTACGGCTAACAAAAAAAAAATAAGAAAAATATCTTTCATTCTAACGAATTGATTTTCACAAATATACAGTTGTTATATAATAATCACTATCAAGAGCAGTTAACACCAATTTTAAGAAATTAGAAAGATGTTAAAGTTTTCAAGTACACAGGAAAGGGTTGAATGTATACATACATATAACAAAGTTAAAAAGTATTTCAAAAACATTTGAAAGAAAGTTAAATGTGTGAAAGATGAAGCGGCGTGCCGTCTACTTGGAAATAGAGATCGTCCACGTCGATTTCATCAACTTTCGCGAAAAAAAGTCGGTACAAAAGCCAATGATGACGTCTAACTACAATCCGCACCAAGCGATCAATTTTTAAGGGCGACAATGCATTTCCGGATTCACACGAAGACTTGACTCACCCCAATAGCGACCATTTTGTTTGTGGACAAATTCATTAAGCCAGAAAAGGGCCTTATCTGAGAATAGGTAAATAATCTTGAACAATTTCCGAACATTGTACCAAAGTGAAACATGACATGATGAAATGGCAAACCTTACTGAACACACTGACGAAATTTGTAAACAAACATGGCCGCCACGAGCTATCAAAATCACGTCATCCCTATTAGTAGACGTTTTACAATTATAACTAATTGGTCTTTACTCACAATTCTCTCTATTTTATGAATCAGTATTTAGTTCTTTATATGCATTATTAAAACGCTAAGATCTCACTGTGTTAGGTAATGCAAGAAAGCCATAACTAGGCTCTCAGTAGGTAACTCGGTTAATATTGACCCAGATAGGGGTTGTTTGAAGAGATATACCCTAGAGGAAGATCTCAGGCCTTCGAACACTTGTAACACAAGGCTTACCACAAAGTTACTTTGGGGTAGAGCTGATGGTGGACAGACCAAAAGCTTCTACTTCTACGCATATGGAAACTCAGTAGTATTGTAGGGATCATTACAGAGAACCTACCCTTAAAATTGCACCTTGACAAAATTGAAAAAATTATATTCGGCGGATAGTAGAGCATGTGCGAAAGATGATGCGACGTTGAAACATGATGTTTGCGAATGCCTAGCCTTCAGCCGGAGACGAAATATATATCACACGCCTCCCCATGCTCTACCTTAGGAGACATTGGGCAGCAGGGTTGGAAAAAAATAAGGCATTTTACAAAATCCACTGAGTTGTTGGCCATGGCTTAAATTAGTTACCACCTGGGGGCACAATGAGCCTAATGATGGTCTACATATAACTGTACAGTACTCCAATAAAACATAAAGCATCGATATCGAGCATTTTCGGTCGGAAAACATATATTTTTAACTATATTTTTGTCTGGTCGATTAAAATTCCATGAAAAATAAAGATGAAAATTTGTAAATGACACGGAACTAATAATATTCCATTCTACCAAGAACTGCGAATAATCACCATAAGGTAAAACGAATGAACTTTAATTTACGCACATGTCCCTTACTTACTTCAACTCAATTCAATTACTAAAAGTACCTTATTTTACACATTAGGGTAGTGCCTAACACTTAAAAAGGAAATGTTTACGTAATACATTGTATCTACATTTCTCTACTATGTAGGTGCTACTGTTTTCGACGACTTGACACATAATTTTTAGAACCTATCGGAGAAGGTCAAGACGTACATATCATGTAAAGGTCAAAGTTCAGAACTCCAAAAAAAAAGAAAACCCAAAAAAATTATTTATCATTTATTACCAAAAATTAGTATTACTCTAAGAGAAGTATCTCATATAAATAGCAGCAGACTTTAAAAAGGGTTAAGGTATTCCGACTTTTACTTACGAACCACCTTAATGTTCGCCTATACACAAAAAGGAAACAATTCGCCCTTGCTTCTTTATAATTTTTACGCATTTTTGTCTGTTGTCACATGTGGAATATTTCCCATTTCTTGCGTATTGTCTTACGCGCCGACAGTAGCTGTAGCAGTAGCAGCAGCAGCTGTGAATTGCCAAAGAATGAGAAATTAATTAAAACTGGCATGCACATAACAGCATAAGAAAGCTAAAGGAAAGAGTTGTACATGGTAACTGGCGCACTGGCATTAAAACAGGATGCAAAGGTGTAGTAGGCACACACACTCACACTATACTTGGCGCGATGCAGAAGACATGAGGGAAATTACAGTTCAAATGTCATGCAGCTATGTTTGTATAGAAATGCTTGCGTTTGTGTGTGTGTGTGCGTCTTCTCGCGCTTCACAGCATACGAAAATTGCCTGCTGTTGTTGTTACTTTCCATTTTCATTGCACTTCCTCCACTTGCTGGCGAAGTCCGAATAGAGTGAGAGTAAGATAATTGTAAGAAGCGCACAGTACTGCAAAGAATTGCAGACTCCAACACATGTGTACAGGTGTGTTTTCTCTCGTAGTTATAATTATTTTCGTTTCTGTCGCATTGTGGTCGGTGTGGAAGCGCTTAAATGTTTTAATTTTTTCCGCTCTCATGCCAGACACGCAGTGGCATCTAGGCTATTACGTTGCCTGATAGTAAAGGTTTTTTTTTTGTTTCATTGGCATTCAAGAAATATTGCCAATTAAGATATTCTAGCCAAGTTGGTTGTTATACTAGTGTCAGCATGTTGCTAACGAACAGCTACTTGACTGGTGGAAAGCACAATCAGTTGTGTAAATCAGGAAATGGAAAACATAACTAAGATGTTTAGTAGATATGAAAAGCGTAAAATGAAGAAAATTATGGCATTCTATATAAAAGAAAGTGTCTTGTTGAAGCCCTCGAACAGTTTCTTATCGTTTGCTTGTTCTTCTTAAAAGGGCCTCAACCCTAAAATCTTTTTTGGACCGAGTCCACAGCCGATTGGGGTTATTGACGGTTTTAATGGCTCTACACTTAACTCTCCGAAGCATAAATTTTGACTCACAATAAATTTAAAAATAGTCCAATTAGCAGCAAAATTAACGCTTTGAACAACGTGACCAAGAAATCCAATATTGTTATCGGTGTATCGGCTGACAGCAATTTGGAGTAAGCTTAGAAAAAATAAATTGAAAGCAGTAACATCAACATCCATACTATTTATCTAAATTTAAAATATCTATCTGTGTAATCTCACTGTAAAACATCTAGCCGAAGCTGATATTGTCGTTGCCAGTGAACACAAAGTTCTGTGTTTTGAATCTTAGTTATTCAATAATAAAACAAACAAAAAACGTTAAGTTCGGCTGCGCTGTAGCTATAACATCTTCACAGTTGCATTGCTTATAGCATAAAAGGGTATACAAATATCTTTATCTTAAATTTGATCAATCAGTTTGTATGGCAACTATATGCTATACTAGTCCGATCTGAACAATTTATTTGCAGATTTATGTGAAGAGAAA